CTTTCAACAACGTAATGAATAAGCCGTTCTTTTCGATCTTCCACAATTTTTTTGAGAAGCGTTTTATGAATATCGCTCTGCCAACATACACAATGTACGATACTGCATTGTCATAGGCTGGCCAGATCTCCATATGCATGCCGTTGCATAGCTGCGTCGTCAGATATTTTCGGTTGAGGCCTCCTTCAAGGAGTGAACTTAGGGGGATGTTTGAAAAAAGTTCAAAAACTCACATTCAACAAAAGCTATAAGAAAATTTTGGACACGAAAATTGTATGACTACATCAATTGCGAGAAAACCTTTATGTACCTTTCCGACACTTATTGCGTTACGCGAGAAAACCTTTATGTACCTTTCCGACACTTATTGCGTTACCCCACATTTCAGAGAACTGTAACCCTGCCACATCAGTCAAATGCGAAATGGGCGGGTTCCCTCACCCTCGAGACTGCAAAAGATGCATCTGTCCTGGTGGTTACGGCGGAACTCGATGCACACAGAGAGTGAGCAGTTGCTCACGAGGGAAGCCTTTCGGGTAGCCCGCGCTTTCTCAATGTGGTTTGCATGTTATAGATGGATGTGCATGGAGTATAGAACTGTGGTCTATTTCCGTTAAATGGTCTACTGAATGCTTAAAAAGGAATGGAAGTAATTTTGTAACTATAGTTCTACCTCATCAACGAGACGTGTTTCTTTATGGCGCGGGCTACTTGTGCAATGAAGGGTTTTTGCAAGCTGTCTGTCGAAAACAATGTGAGGTATGTCGAAATTGGAAAGATGTCGCAATGAATCGTGCTACTACTAAAGCGCGTGTGGATAAAGGCGCGTGTGGAAGTTCCATAAGTGCGTTTGGTCCGTGCTCTACGTTGGGGGTTCCGAACCTCGAGGCGCCGGACATTTTGCACTTTTTGTGGGAGATGTTGTATCCAAAAGCAGAATCACCCTTCTTCTTCTCCCTAGCGTTAGTCCCGCGCAGTCGCAGGGTCCGCTGTCTTTGTCAGTCGTCGCCACTTTGCTCTGTCCAGGGCATCTTCTGCTGTGGCCATGACTTCACTTAGGTCCTTCTTGATCACGTCTCTCCACCTCTTCTTTGGGGCTCCTCGCGGTCGCTTGCATTGTCTCACCATGGCCGTCCACGATCGACTCTGCACCCTCTTCGGAGCTCAGGAACTTGGTCTTCTTGACATTCAGCCGGAGCCCACCTTCTGCCAGGACTTTCTGCCATTTCTGCACCTTGGCTTGAAGTTCCTCTCTGCTATCCGCTATCAAGGCGATGTCGTCAGCATAGAGGATGGACCGCAGTGGTCCTTCCATGATGCCCTTCATCATGGTATCGAGCGTTAGGAGGAACAGGAAGGGGCTCAGAGCTGACCCTTGGTGTACCCCACCCGTGATGTCCACCTCCTTCGTTAAGCCGTGAGGGGTGCGT